GAACCAGAACTTGATGCAGGACTTTAAACTGGTCTCCTCCCCGGAGCCAGGCTTACTGAGATAAAAACTGAACCTCCCCACATATGGAGCCAAAAACCCAGAGGACTCCACGGGGGAGGAACAGTGGACAATCAGGAGACGAGACAAACACTAGAACCCTCTTTCCACTGGCTGCCAGGATCCATAACATGAACCAGAAATTAACAGGACGAACAGAACGACTAACTAAGAACAAGTATGATCTGGCACTGAATGCTCAGGCTGAACTGAATATAAACAGAAGAAACAGGTAAGAGGAATACATTATAATTGAGGCAGGGAGGGAAAATGACAGGTGAAAGGAATGACTAATTAAGGAGCAGCAAACAGGCCAGATCATGACAGACTCTCCTGTTTTTGGTTTGTTTTTAAATAACCAATAATAATTAATATAGCTGTCCTTGTTTCTTTCAGGGTCTTTTTATGCTGAAGTTCTTTCCAGGTGGTGTATAATTTTTCACAGAGTGGTTTTACGCATCAGTACATCAGATGGTTTCTAAAAGTTGTATAGTTATACTTTTGAATACTTAAGTAATTTCAAAAGTAAGTACTTAAATAATTTAACTGAAGTAGATGTTTAAGTAACTTTTACTTGTAGTTGAGTAAGATTTGACTATGAGTATGAATACTTTTACTCAAGTACTTCTGAGGATTCTATGTTAAATAAATAACAGTAGGTTTATTGTGACACTTAACAGGTGATTAATAGTTTAGCTACGTTTCTGTGCTGCGTTCCATGTTAAAATTCAGAACTAAAAAAAAACTTATCTAATATAGGAGGCAACCATTTTTAAGTTGTTGACCCGCTTAGTTGTATAAAAGTGTACAAAAATAAAAGTGCAGTCATAACAGTGTAAAATATTGATAAGGCCACATAGCCAGCAACCCCCTCTGTGCCGCATGGTATGATATGCAATTACTGCAACATCTCATTATTATTTTCACTTTTCACATCTGATGAAACATAAATGGAGAAACAAACATGTTGTTAAAATAAACAAGAACCATCTTTAAAAGCAGCTGGACTCACATTAAACGTAGCCGTTGTCAGAAGAACAAAACCATCTCTGGGAAGCCCTTTATTCTATGTCCATCAGTCCTCTTAGGATTAGTTTCATGTGTCTAATTGAAAAAGTTTGGATCTTAGATCACTTTTAGTTAACCGCCTGACTTGGAGGTTTCGCCTGTGGACGACTCTGATCCCGTCAAAAGCCCACCCACCATCTGCTAGCCTGGAGGGAGTGACAGGTGAAATCCGAGGCCAAGAACGTTATTCAGAAGGCTCAAATTATCTCCATGAAAACCTTTTCCACGTGGGCTCAGAGCCTGAAATACTTTGGATTCTCTTTTGGACATTAAGGATGTAAAGTCTGAGGCGATAACAAAGACCACACCTGAGAGCTCCGCAGCTTGCAAACATTTCCACAACATTTTCAACCTTTTTGCTTTAAAAGTATTTGAGTTTGTGAAATCGAATTCCACTCAGCTTTAATCAGGCCGTCGTAGAGAAGTGCCAGCATTTCTGCATGCGTGTGTGTGTATGTGTTTGCTGTTGATGGTTTGTTTCCTCTGCAGCAGATGCTCATTTGCTGTCAGCAGGGAATAGCTGCAGGTCTGTAATAGCAGGCCTGTTTGTGGTCAGATGTGGTCTCCCTGTCTGGTTCTAATGTACTCTTTAGTGCACGCTGCAGTGTTGGAGGGGAGGAGGGGTGTCGTGAGAAGGAAGACGCTGTGTGAGAATCCAGAGGTTCCTTTGAGGACTGTGATGAGTTTCAGGACATCTTGGAAAAAAAGTAAGGGGTCGCATTGTTGCAGACTGACGGATCAGGTTTGGTTCTGGGGTTCAATTTGGGATCAGGTTTCGGTTTAGCGTGAGGGTCCCCATAATGTCTCACATGGGCTGGGTCCTCAAAATCATGCAATTACAAACATGCATGTTTGGGCGTGTTTTATGGGGTCTTTACTGGTTTCTCTAAATGATGTTAAAGCAAAACATCTCACCATGTTCTCTACCTGACCGCAGTCTAAGTTTGCCAGCTGAATGAGAACTAATTCAGGCGCTTTATTCACACAAAACATTTGAACAACTTAAAGTATTTAATTATTTCTTGGAAACAAAGCTAAAAAAAAAAAGAATGTAGTAATAAATTACTGTCATCATTCAGAAAAATAAATATTGCTTCAAACATGAAACCATTTGCAAACCTAGGAAAAAAAACACTTTTAAGAGTAGAACAACTGCAATAAGCAGTTTTAAAACAAAACTTACAAAACTTGCTTGATTAGCTCCTCATTCCAGGCTAGCCAGTTTCTCAAGAGAAAGAACCAAGATACAATCATCAGTAAAAGTGGAAATGCTTCTTACTGGGATACTTCCAGTTGAAAACCACAAAGCTTCACACCAGGAGTTGAGTATAAGCATCTTCTAAAAATAATCGCTCCATAAACTAAAGGAAGTTTTATCTCCTTAACCAACGCATTTGAGAAATAGATGCTATGGTTGCAGCTAGTTGATGTTACCCCTAGGGAAGCGATTAAGTGTTGTACAGACTTGTGCAGTGTTGTGTGCAAATTTCATCTTTATGAGTACGATTTTAATGTTTTGTTTTTTTTTCAAGGTAAATTGTTTTGGATTTGAAACATTTCTAAGTGTCATGGTTTTATCTAAAGCTCGGACCCACATGCAGTGAAACCAGTTCAGAGAGACACAGATGAAAAGTTTAACAGGTTTATTGAAGAGTTTAGGCTCGGTGCAGAGTTGCTCAGAACTCAGCGCGACCGGAACTGGAAGGTGAAGGGAAGACAAACGATTAGTTCAGGCTCAGTGGGAAATTTTATACTTGGATATGGAGAAGAGGATCTGGTGGTTGACTCACTTTTCCAGAGAAGTTGTAGGATCTTTGACTCCAACCTGCGTGCTGTTTTCCAGTGTTATTCTGATTTGGTGGAGGGCGGAACAGGGTTTACCCAGAACTCGGATGGTTTATGGTGAACGGAGAAACTGGCTGCCACTCAGATTTCCTGCGGTACTTGAACGGGTCGTAATGGAGATGATTCCCTTGCTCAGAGAGTTAACTCAACGTCCTCTTCAAGGAAGAAGGATCCAAACCTCCTGTTTGAATCCCCTGCTCGGTTCGAGGCTAGTTGATTCCTTCAGGGAGAGAAGGTCTGGAAAGATCCAGTTTGCAGGAAGACTTCCTGTCGAGAGGCAAAGACAAAAACGAAGTTAAAACTCAGGTAGAACAAGAACTTAGTCTTACTCAGCAAAAAACTCAGCTTGGCTAGAGTACCCAAAACTGGCAAACACTCTGGCGTCGAGGTAGTGGCAGTCAGCAGCTTAAGAGCACTCTGCTAATGAGGCAACCATCATCAGGTGTGTGAGGAGGCAGACCAGAACCAGGCGCCTCATGCTGGTGGAAGGGAAAACAACACCAAAAGACAAACACACAGACTGGAGTCCTGACTCTAAGTTCAGTCCATCTGCTATAATTATGACATAAAATGAACCTGCTGTACATTTTGATTTAGATGGAGGTCAGTGTTTCCAGGTAAGGAGTAATTCATCCTTTCTTCAGCAAAGGAGTGTCTTTATTTCTAAAAGCATCTTAGATTGCAAATAATAATAACAGTAGACACTCTATGGTCACTGGTATTTAGGAAATAAAAAAACATCATCTGTGCTCTTTTTAGCAGACGGTGATTCACTTCCCGGAGCTTAGAAATAATTTTAGGGAGAACCATAGCTGCCTGTAGTAGACATTTTTAAACTTAGTCTAGTTTGACTAAATATGCGTCACAGAGGAACAGATTGTAGCGCCTCTTACGTCTTCTGGAAAATAATTTCACAGTACAGAAATATTTATTCTAGAATAGAAAAGCTTTTTTATGGTATCATATAAACACAGATTAACTTTAGTTCATTTTGACTGACTTTTACAGTATATTAACATCCCTTATATGAGTCTCAAATCTAATATTGTCAGATTATTTTTTTTATTATTAATACTTTATAATGATATATTCATTACCATTAGGCCTTTTGCTCCTCAACATATAAGAAATAATTAAATGCTACTGCTAAGTACATGTTGATATGATCACAAAATAAAGCTGCACAAAGTAAACCAGCTAATAAGCCGATAAAATGTGATCCTAAACATTATTCTTTTCTAAAAGATGAAATGATTCTGTTTGTTTTTCAGCCTGACTCTGTAATTCATTTGTTTTGGACATCAGAGCTCTTTGCAAGGAACTTTTTCCATTTCTCTCCATCCCTTTTGCTCCCTGTCAGGCAAAACCAAATAATTGGCTGAAAAGTTGACATGTTTGTGTGGCGATGGTGGCGATGTAAGCGGAGGTAGAGATGATAAATGCAACCCAAAGTTACAGAATCGTCTCCATGAATCATTGAGGGCAGTTTGATTTTCAGCTGCTTCGGACCTGTTTCTTTTTTTAACAGTTTGTAAACGACAATCGAAGAAAAGAGCGATTAATGTTCCTCTTTATAGCCAAAGAATTAAAAAGAAATATGTTTACTTTTACCTTACATAATAACTGAAATGAGAAGAAATTGAAAAACCATCTCAGTCTTATGTTTTTTTTATTCACTTCCTTTTACAGGCAAGAAAATGAATAGCTAATTATCGCATTTTGATGTTATGATTCAGACAGCCAACAGTTGTGAAATCTTCATCATCATCTAAAACTGTTTTCATATTGATTCACAAAGTGAAACCAGTTGGATAGAACACATAATAAATTGAAATAATGGGACAATAATGGGCTGTCAGTCAGACTCTCACATGTCCAGCTGGAAGACCTTCTATGACCAGATGGGATTTATGGAAGCTAAAGCCAAACAATGCTGGAAAACCGCTGGGGTTCCTCTGTATGTGCTGTGGAGATGCTAACAGAATCTTTTTAACTGTTTTCTTTTGTTCTTTGTCTCCCCCGTCTGGCAGATGATCGAGGGCCTGTCCTGCGCCGTCAGTGGTATCAGTTCAACATCAGCTCTTTGGAGCGGGACGGGCTCCTGGGTGCAGAGCTACGCATCCTGAGGAAGCTGGTGTCTGACCCCCGCTTGGCTTTGGCGGGTCTCGCAGCAGGTGAAGAAAGAGGAAGAGGAGGATCCAGCCCAGTCTTGAAGCTGCACACCTGTGCTTCAGGCAAACAGAAACCAGTTCTCCTCCAGACTAAGACCCTGGAGGATCTCCTCAGTGGATTCGGCACCAAATGGGAAGTGTTTGACATCTATAAGGTCTTCAAGGGATTCAAAAACCAGCAGGACCAGTTCTCCCAGCAGCTCTGCTTTGAGCTGGAGGCCCTGGAGCACAGAAGAGGTCGCTCTCTAGACCTGAGAACTCTTGGGTTCGCTCGAACCGGCAGGACCAACAAGGAGAAGGCTTTCCTCCTGGCATTTGGGAGAAGCAAGAAGCGCGACCTCTTTTACAATGAGATCAAAGCCCGTTCAGGCCACGACAACAAAACCGTCTATGAATACCTGTTCAACCAGCGACGAATGAGACGTGCTCCCCCACCAAGAAACTCCAAGAAGATCTCCCGCCCCTCCCTGCAGATCCCTCCTCAACACCAGGCGTCCAAGACTAGGCCTCGCTGCCACCGTCGGCGGCTCCACGTTAACTTTAAGGAGATGGGCTGGGATGACTGGATCATCGCTCCCCTGGAGTACGACGCCTATCACTGCGACGGCGCCTGTGACTTCCCCATTCGCTCGCACCTGGAGCCCACCAACCACGCCATCATACAGACCCTGATTAACTCCATGGACCCAGATGCCACTCCACCCACCTGCTGTGTCCCGACTCGCCTCAGCGCCATCAGCATCCTCTACATCGACTCTGCCAATAACGTCGTCTACAAGCAGTACGAGGAGATGGTGGTGGAGTCCTGCGGCTGCAGGTAGCAGAGACAGAAAACTGAGAAACGTCTTGTTTGTTCCAACCTTTCTGGAAATCTGACAGAAAAATCATCACAGAGCAGTAATTTCAGACCCACTGCTGTGCCACAGGCATGACTCTTCCCACTCCAGTGGGCTATCACACTGCATACCAAAGGCTGCAAAGACTAAACACGGGAAGATAGACCGATGGAGATTGTGCTCTTAAACACAGACTCACTAAAACTGTTGATGTTGTCAGGATGTGTCTGAGAGACGGCCCAAAACAAAAACAGGCCTGGACAGAAAAAAAGACTCTCCTCAGATCTGTATCAGAGCCGTGATTGGTGGAAAAAGTTCTGAAGAAACATTAAGGGAATTATACTCAGAACTGCCCCTTTTTTTCCAGCACTTATCTGATGGAGTCATTTGTAATCCTTAACCAAGACGTCTCTTTTTCTGTGAAGCATGTGAAGAATCTCTGATGTTTAAATACCAGCCAGTGATGAAGTGCTAATGTGACCTGCTCCAAATGTGGGAAAGTTGTTTAGACTAGTCTTCAATAAAAAATTCCTGACTGACTGAGCTCCAAACTCCTATCAGTGCACCCCCCCCCCATCGAAATGATCTGCAGACTAAACTATTAAAAGAATCTTAAAGCTTCAGATGCCAAAATTACAGTTTAACACAAGAATGCATTTTTATAACATCTTTATTTATAACATCCATGTTTCACTACGATCTAACAAATTCCTACAGTTTCCTACTTTCAATCTGCATCATGAACATCCCCTGAGTCCTAAATGTTAAGAAAACCCAGCACTGTAAAAGCTAAATGAATAAAACCACATTTAAAAACTATTAAAAGTTATGATGGATTATTAAAAAACAAACATTGAGATTACTTAAAGTACTTTTGTCTGTGGTTTAATTATTTTTAATTAACTTTTTACTTACTCTATTTTTTTATTACAGTCAATATAAAGATTTGAGCTAAAAGACATGAAATCGGGGCTCAGGCCTGACTGAACTGCTTCTTTCCAAGATGTCTCCATGACACAACTTTTCTTTCCAACAAGCCTACAGCCAAAGACGGAAAACACTGCAGATAAGGTGAACAACAGAACCTCACCACAGAAAATAAGTTAATTTCCTTTTCTTAACCTGTTTTGGAGTTATTTAGATCTTAATCTTAATCTGTGAAATATTTAATTGAAAGAATGACTCATTTTCAGGAGCTTTGTTCAGACCTTTGAGCACCTCTTAAACGTCTCATGTTTTGTCAATTTCCAGCAGCAGATTCGATATATTCAGTGAGATATACGTAGTGATGAGGCATGGTGGTGGCACCATCATGCTGAGGGAATTTTTTACTTAGAGGGACATGTCAGAGTAGATGGGAAGATGGGCGGGGATAACTTCAGGACAACCATGGAAAAAACCTGTTAGAGGTTGCAGAAGACCTGAGAGGGGAGGAGGCCTACAACCCTGATGGAAGGATGGACGGACGGATGGACAGACAGACAGATGGATGGATGGATGGGAAGAACCTCTGAGGTCAGAACCAGAACCAACTCAAATTCAAAGAGGAGTGGATTCTATCTCCTAATTACGAGACTTCTGGCAGCTGGTTGAACTGAAAGTTATGTTTGAAAATCAGAGTATCACCTTGCTGATGTTTCATTCATTGACTGAGCTTTGCATGAAGGGAATGTTACAGCAATCTGGAAAAGAAGAAGGACAGAACAAAAGGTTTGATGATTTCAAGATAAAGTATTGTTGAACTATCTCTAGTCTGTTAGGAGTAGCTGTTTAAATAGAGACATGATCTTTTTCCAGCCATAGAATAACTATTAAAACAGATAAAAGTTCAGATGAAGACAATAAAGGAATAAGAACGGCAGGTTTTAATAAAGAGCACTAGAAACTCCGAGCTTTGAGTGGATGAACCGCGGTAAACTGGTGGAAAATGAGGAAGAAACTAGGGGACCTAAAGGTTACAGCAGCATCTGGATGAGAGGAGATTTACTACAGAAACACATGACCATCAAAACCAAACAAACTGAAGGCTTAAAGGGATGTAAACAAACAAAGGAAGGAAACCTAAACCCAACAAATACCAAGTCCTGAAGACCAGAAAAAAAAATCTGAAACAAGCTTTAATGATTCCTGCAACCCAATGAGAAAACAGAAAGTGGATTCTCACATAACCTACAGTATTATCATCAATATTAGTATCTATCTGAGACCCAGAATGATGCAGAATTAACTTTAACACAAATGTTAAAGTTGAAATTTAACACAAATGTTAAAATCATTTATTTATTTTCATAAATAATCTTTTAATGCGATACTTTAAAATGTGCATAAAAAACATGGATGGACTTGTGTTCATTATGGCTTAAAGATTATAAAAACCTAAAAAACAAAAATGTATTTGTAAGTTGTGATGCAATGTTCTAACACGGCAGGCTGAGAGCTGTCTAACAGTCACAGAAAAAGTCTTGGTAGGTGAAACAAAACAGATCACTGAAAGAGAGTCTGGAAAAGGTTTACATTTACAGAATAGAGATAGCTGCAGTCTTGATTAAATGGATAGAGTAAATGATAGGAGCTTCAACCAAGTATTGGGTACATTTATTGCACAGAAAAGTGTTGGTTAAATGAAATCTAAACTCATCTTAAAAAAAACCCATTTTGGGTTTTTATCAGTTGTGAAACCTTAATAATTGAAATAAATCAATAAATGTTTACTTCCATCACTTGCTTCATTACTGTCTAAAAGATCTATATCATGTAGAAGTTTAACCTTTAGAACTAGAACACTTAAATAAATTGTACAAGGCCACGGTGGCTGAGGGGTAAATACACGCTTTACAGCAAATTCAAAAGCCTCAAAATCAAAACTTAGACCATCAGACACAAAAATGATACTAAAACACAAAAACACACGCAAATAAAAAAAGTTGCAAAAGAGAAACGCTGCAATCGTAAAAATTAGGGAGCAGCTAAGTGAAAACATGTTGCAGACACCTAAATAATACTAACACGCAAAGAGTCATGCAAAGGGAAAATGTTGCAAGTAGTAAAAGCAAATCCGTGTCAAGAAAAGCTTCAAACTGCTGTCGCCTGGGAGTAGAGCTCCAGACCACCAGGGGGAGATGGTCATTACAATGAAAGCCAAAAGTGGTATCTGGCATGCCACTGAGGAGTGGCAAATGCCACTTTTCAACTGGCATGTTCTATTTTTCCTGGCATATGTAGAGAATATGCATCTATAGGATGTGGAGGAGAAGCAGTTTTACACCAAGCCTCTCAGATGACCGAGCTCCTTACCTTTTCTGTAGGAGTTCCCAGCTCATTTCATCATTTCAACTGCATATATGCAGGATCTTATTCTTGGCCTTTTTTGAAATCAAATTCTTACATGATCCTAGTTGCTTTAGTTAGAGAAGGGGTTGAAAGTCATTCTAAAGAGTTCTGTCACCTCCTTGCTATACTGTGAGCTCATTTATTAAGACATGAAACTATCAAGAAGCCAGGATTACCCAGATTGCCAACAGAATATGTGACCTTACCTACGTTCATACAAAAAACACAATAGTAATGACACCTTATTCCAAAAAAGATAAAAGACAATCAACTAGACTTTGTTTCCAAGTTTGAAGATGTTTCGCTTCCCATCCAGGAAGCTTTTTCAATTCAAAATGTCAGGAATAGATGAATTTATAGGCTTTATAGAGTGGACCTAAAAACAAAGCCTTGTTTTTGCTTAGAAAACATGCTAATTGAACCGGACCGAACCGGTCCACCCCTTTGGAATGAGGGTTGTTTGGGTTCTTTGTTGGCCTGCAATACCAGATACCTGTCTATGTCTCTGAAAGGGGGTTTGTTATTGGTCCACTCTATAAAGCCTCAAACTCAACGCAACTTCTGACTTTTTAAACTGAAAAAGCTTCCTGGATGGGAAGCGAAACGTCTTCAAACTTGGAAACAACATCCAGTGGGTGGTTTTTAACTGTATTGGATTAACCATGACCTGGATGATTGAGAATCTTCACCAGCATAATGACACTTTAAATACAAAAACAAAAGTATTTAGTCTTTGAATCTTTATTCTGAACAGTGATGCACACAATGATGAGAATCCAGGTTACACTGCAGACAGGACTCAATTCTGTTGCAAAACATTCAAATAAAGGCATCCAGAGAATTTAATACTCATATTTAGGGAAGGTTTAAATTTTTCATTTAGACTCCGATGGTAGCTCATTAGCAGAGCTAGTGAAATAGTTTAACCATTCGATTCAAGTATGTAGGGCAAGAGACACATCTAAAGGTTCCAGGTCAGAAATCCAGGATTGAGATCACTGGTTTAAATGCTCACTTCTGGAATCGAAGACTATCCTGCGATCAGGCCTTAGGGCAAATAAAAAAAAAAAGCCAAAGTGCCTTGTCAGTGGTGTCACTATCATTCTCAGACATCCTCTCTGCCTCTGTCTTTCTGCAGTAATGACAGAGCATGGTGAGATCATCTGGGTCACATATGAAATGGATTTAAATTACTTGTTGTTGTTATCAACACAAAGTGGTGTAGCTATGATTAATATGCATTACTTAGCCATGTAATGCTTCAATCTTTTATTTGGAAAAGCTGCTGTTATATGTTACAATTGATGTAAACTAGTTTTTAAAGGTAAGACATATTACTGCCTCAGCAACTTACCTTTCAGGGCTTTTTCGTTTTGTTCATCACAGTAAATTTTCATTCTAATATGGATGCAATCCTTTGGCTAACAAAGCATGACAACCATAACATATAGGAAAAACATGTCATTTAAATACAAATATTCTAACAAATGAACTTAAACTATAGGAAGGAGCTGACAGCATTGCAAAAATGAGATGAACTGAACTCTAATATTATTTATATAACTTTAAAGTGAGGTCATGTATTCTGCTGGCTATCGGGAATGGTGACCTAAGTGATCCTGGCTACTTGATTGTTTCATGTCATAATAAGTGAGTCCAAACTTTAGCAACGAGGTAACGGAACTCTTTAAAGGAAAAGTCTGTTCACATTCAGAATACAAACTTTGGAAAGTACTTAAAATATGAAATTATTACATGCTGTTTAATAAATGATGAGTGTTTTTAATTAAGAGTAATTTGTATTTGAATGTGCTTTACTGGAGGCATCCATGTTTGTCAAAGAACACTACTGCCACCTACTGGTTTGTGACGTCACGGTGCGGTATCGGCTGTTGATCAAGTCCCAGTGCTGTATCTGGTGTTTGTCACAACGCGCTATTATCCAAGTCATCTTGAAAACATTCTTCTTCCAAATGTTGGCTACATATTACGTGTTTTTTCTCTGGCCCTCTTCAAGTTGGCATTCCAACGACGAACCCATCCGTGGAGGATTAGGAATCGGAAAGGTGGAATAAAAAAAATTTCACTTTTACCCAATGTAACATCTACCTGCCATGCACATTGCCTCTGGTGAATTTCAATGGTGAAGTCCTCTGGAAATCTTCAATAATTGTTGTTGATTGCAGATGTGTCTAGTAGTTCCCATTGATTTTGCTTGTAAAGCGGGGAGAATGGCGCCAGGCTTACCGCACCGTGACGTCACTGCTGGAAGATGGCAGGAGGGAGGGGTTACTATATTTGGGCAATAATGGCCGGTCCCACACTCAGTGATTGTGATGAAAATTCTTTAAAAATTTTTTACTGATTAACGCTAAATTCATGAAAAAGTATTAGCTTTATGTATAGATCATGATCCATTGATTATTCCTTGCTGATCAGACTTTTCCTTTAAAATGGAGTTGAACCGCTTCCCTCACCAAAGCATTTAG